TATAAAAGACCTCTTCTGATGTCTAGTAAGCAAACAAGGGTTTACTAACCTACACTTCACTATCAGAGTATCATAAAATTGATTAATAACATAGATACTCCGATATGTGAACAATTAGTAGAACTAACTAGAAGTGTAGAGACAATTAAAAAAGATTTCTAGCGTTATCCATCTCTACTGATTTCAACAACAAACTAATGCTTATATTCAACCTTTTTAACTTCAATTCCATGAAAATAGCAGTTCTTACCCAGATTAGACGCTCTATTAGCATTCTCATCTCTATGGATTTTTGAAAATGAATGAATATCTCATATTCGTCTTTTTCAACTTTAATTCCTTTGTTATAACAATATTCAACATTAACATTCCACTAGCACCCTTTATATTTGTTGATTTTTAATAACAGACAAATGCTTTATGTTTAGCCTTTTCAACTCAAATTCCATAAAAACAACAATTCTTACCCAGATTAGACGTTCCGTTAGCATTTTCTATCTAGGGATGAGAAGTTCGGATTGATTTGATATATGATATTTTATATTACATATACAACTACATATATTAAACCAATCCAAACCAATTTGAATTTTCCCATTTCTAATTCCATCCCTACGGATTTTGAAATAAATGAATGCTCGTATTAGTTCTTTTCAATGCATTATAACAATATTCAAAATTAATGTCCCACTAGCATCACCCATCTCTGCTTATCTGGTTTAGGTGTTTTATATCGATCATGGCTATGCTAACTGTTTGACGTAACATTAAGTTACTTTGAAATACAAATAAAATTACATTTTATTAGATTCGAAAAAAGCATTTAGATTATGCAAATTAACATCAAACTCAAAAACCCTTCCTGATTCTTATACAACATGATCACTAATTTCTATTACCACATATAATAAACCTTATCATTCTATAATATAGAATGACTGATTAATTAAATGCAACGCTTTGTTCTCGATACATTAGATTAAAGTAATTGAGAAGAATAGATCATTATATAAATAAAAATAAGTATCTCAATAAGAAAATGAAACTTGAAACTTACTATTTTGCTAATTTTTTCTAAAAAAACTTTGGTTCCATTTTCAGTCAAGGGCCACATTCATGACTTTTAAAACATATAAATATAAGCAACTTGTATTATATTTTATAATCTTTTCAAGTAATTACAGCTGGTTTCTGACTAAACTAATATGTTACAATTAGAATAGTCTTATGGGGATTGCTTATCAAATTGCACAGATTTAACGGTCATAGCATACATACATACGTACATATCAGACATTAGATATCAGAAAATCCATAATTTTAAAAATAGATTGGTGTTAAATAATAATCTATTTTTAGAATTTCGGATTATTCTCTTGGCTGCACTTGTAACAATTAGGTTTTTAGTAAACAATGTACGTATGTAAATTAAGCATCGATCTTCAATTGATGTTCTAAGGTAATCCGGTATATGAGTATACACCGTATACTCATATACTTAAATTTTTTTTTTTTACTCCGTTTTCAACTATTTCGAAAACCGCGATAATTATTCCAATTAGCCTAATGAATATATTTTATTTATATTTATTTATTCAGTTGTGACTATTAATAAAGACTATTTATTAATCGGTGAAATTGTTAACAAGCCAAATTTACAAAAACATAAATATTTATTACTACATAACCCTTCAAATAATTTTATTCACATTAATTATCCCAATCAGTTTAATAAATATAGAAATATTAATTTGTAAAACTAGATTTATAAAAAAAGTTCACTCATATTCATAACTAAAAAACTATTTATTAATCAGTAAAATTAGTTAACAAATCAAGTTTCTCAATAAAGAACATGAATACTTATTTCTATATTTTCTATTATATAATGCTATTCAAATTATTTTATTTGTATTAATTATTCCAATTAGCCTGTGAATATAAAGATTACTGTATGATTATAGTATAGCAAACCAATATATACAAATTACAATATAGAAACATGCAGATGAATACAAGTATGAGACATGTATTACTTTGTTAGATTTATCTTGAAAATAGACTAGTCTTAACAGGGTTAGTAAGTCTTAAGGCAGTCAGTATATCCTTTGTAAAAGTTAATACCAAAATTCACATACTGTATATATAATGAGAAAAATCTAAAGTTAGATAGTTAAATAATGGCAGTTGAAACCAGATAGTTTAAAATAGATACTTTGTAGTTAGACGCAAGTATGATAGATAGTGTAAAACTCTTAGCATAGCACTAACACTTTGGGTAAACTACTTAAATTAAACACCAATAATGCATGTGTGGCTTGATATACTATCATTGTAATTGTATAAATATTATTTCAAATCCTAATAAAAGCTTTCAGGCCAAAGAAATCAACTTAACAAAATATATATATATATATAATACTAGAATATTTTAACTATTTAAAATTTAACAATATACTCTTCCCGATGATTACTCATACCAAAATTTTCTACTAAAAAAAACCACAATTTTTGTTGGAGAGTCGTGGTCTATATAGTGGTTTGTCTAGAGATCAATATTTCGTTTTCGTGAGACTTCTCTAAAAAGACGTTCGGTATGCAAACCAGAAGCGTTATTATACAAGATAACTGGCAGGTGGTGCCCTTGTATAAAAAATCTTGATGGAAAGACAAAGTTTTTTTCGTCGACGAAGCTCTTAAGCTGTTAAAAAAACACAGGAGAAACAACAAATATTTGTAAACTTCAACACACTCCTTTGAAATTTTGAAAGTACCTGACTTCGCAAACCACCTTCCATATTCCTGCCGGGTTTTTTGGTGTTTCTCTCAAAATTTTTTCAAAATGTGGAAAATTCCAAATCGGGAATGGCTAAATTACGAGAAAGTCATGCTACTACATGCCTGAACAACAATGAATGACATGTAACAAGTCTGTAGAGTAAACAAGAAAAATTTTGTATTCTCCATGTAAATGAACTATTTTAATACTGAAGTAAAGCAAAGGTGGGATTGTTTTACGGAGTATTAAATAATTTTTTAAGCCCCACACTGGCGCAAATAGTGTTGTTATGTTTCTGTTTTTTTCTTTGCTTTTCTTTTCTTTTTGTCTTTTTTTTATTTTTTTTTTTATTTTTGGTTTTTCATTTAGGTTTTGTAGCTTCTTCTTTTTTTTTTACTATCCTTTTTTAGTTTAGTTTTTTTTTTAGTTACTTGTCGTTCTTTAGGCAAAGATTATAAAATTCTCTTGCTTGATAATTAGAAGAGAAGGAATTTAAAGGAATTGCAGTCATGACAGGCCATAGAAACCATTCGTTGATATACTTGTTTTCTTGTTTGCAAAGTGAGTAAGTAAAGAGATAAACTCTACTATAGCAGGTTAAACATAGGTATTCGTTGAGAACAACTGGGTTAGCTGACACTTGTAATTTAGGTGACTGGGCCAATTGGTTTAGTAAAATTAATAGACTGTGTAGTTTGTTTATTTATACCTAATAAAGTAAAGGCATGACTGCCAAAAGTAAAAAAAAAAAAAAAAACTATTTAAAATTTAAAATTAGATATAACATGCAGATTAGCTTTGTGTAATAAAATAAGAATTTTTTAAAAATTAACAAAAAAAATTTCTAATTAAATTTTATTATAAAAACTGCTCAACTTTAATCTTTTACCTTTATTCTTACCCTAATATTAAAAAAATTTAATTATTATTTTGATAAAATTATTTTGATTTACATATTACACCAATTTGTTTATTATATATAAAGTAGCTATGATAATATTCTCTTTTTATTTAGTATTTAAATTTTTTATACAGTATATTTTCTGGATATATACTATGTATTTAAAGAGTATAGACAGGATATATATTTATTATTATAAAGTGCATTTAGCTACGTAATATTAGTATGCATATAAGACACATTTCTGCATTTACAATACGTTATATAAGCTAAACCATTTATTTTAGCCCCATGTATCGTACGTACGCACTTAGAATTTCAACAGACAAGAACATTCCAGAATCAACAGTATCTTTCATATTACTAATCCGCCCGATGACTAATATGGTTTAGTATCGGTTGCGCCCTTTATAAAAAATGGAATTATCATTCTGCTTGTAAGCAGTGTTGTTGATTAATTGACGGTAAGCAAATTAAAAAAATGTTTAAAGCATTGCTTGCTATTTTTAGTAAAATAACTAGTTAATTATCATATGATCATGAACGCCCGTTCATTAATAATGTCACTTATTTTTTAAAATTATAGTCGGAAATTATTACTATTCAATGTTATCATTGGAAAGTAAAATTAACCAGAACTTTATTATTGCAAAATCTCACCGAAAGGCCAGATTTTCTCACTGGAAGCCAAAATTAACAACACTGAATAATAGTAATATACAGTGTATAACTTAGTATATGCAATAAATATTTTTCACAAACATTTAACAAGTCATTTGTTATTGTAACTCTCGATAATGAACACTGGCTTATAATGAGGAATTTTTAGGATACTATTAATTTTTCACTTGAAAAAATATATAAATATGCATAAGCTATAGTAAAAATTTTTTTAAAAAAATTTAGTATATTTATAATGAAGATTTATGTGTAACAATTTTTAACAGATTATACGTATTATGATCGAATATGACGGACACTCTACACCGGTTTCATAGTCTAACTGACTAAAAATAATGTACGTACGTACGTAACAAATTTTCAATAGGTAATTTAGGACAGTAACGGATTTAATAATAAAATAATCATATTACGTATACGAAGTCTTTTTTGCCAGTCCACTTGACGATCCGACTAGTTCCGTGACTATGTCACTGTATCGCTTTCTGATTCCTAATATCTTCTAGTAGAACGTCTAAGAAAATGTCGTTCCGGGAAGGAAATTTGTATGGAAAACGCAAGGTGCGGAAAAAAAAAAAGAAAAAAAATTTGTGAGCTACGAAAATATTCAACACGTTCTCGTATACCCAACATCTCTCCTCACAAATTTAGAACCTCCAAAAAAAAAAAAAATATACGTTGAGCCATTGCCCATAAATAATCCAAGCATTCCTCATGTTCTTAATGAGTACGCTTTCCACTAATCCAGAAACATATCTGGCAGAGATCAACGAACACATAGCAACTAGCGGAATGTAGATAATCCCAGGAAAAAAAGTCACCGTCCTAAAACATACCCATAAGGACTTGGACTTCTTCTATAATCATTATATCCATAAGGGCTTTGACTTCGTCTATAGACGGGGCTCCTTGAACGATTTCTTGGCGGACCATAAGAACCACTACCTGAACCACCGTATGCAGGTGGAGACCTAGAGATTCGACGATAACGATCGTAATCATCGTAATAACCACCGCCACGGCCTCCATAATATGGAGAGCGACCCCGATAACGAGGGGACGGAGCTCTACGATCATAATCACCGCCACCTCTACAAAATGGTTTATAGATTTCAATTTTTTAATCATTAGAAATGCTTGCTGATAAAAATTCATCCTTAAGTATTGTCTGCTATAGAAATTCACCTGCAGTATTTAGCCAAATGACCTAATTCACCACATCGAAAGCAGCGACCACTTCTAACATCCATACCCTTTTCTCTAGCATCCGGACATTCCCTAGCCCAATGGCCCTGTCCACCACATAAGAAACATCCGCTTCCGGGGCCACCAGATCGGCGAGACCACTCTACAGCAATTCGAGCGCCATCTAACTCATACCCGTTGAGCTGTTTAACGGCATCATCAGCATCGCGCGGATCCTATAACGCCAGGTTTCCACGTGCAAGAGCGACACGTTTTAACAATTAGTTGTTTAAAGTGAACTTGATAAGCCAAACACATACCAAGCTTCCTGATACAGATGTCATTAATAATACTCATTATTAACCTCAAACTCAACAAATGCATATCCCATAGGTTTTACGTCTACACTTAATACTTTTCCATATCGTTCAAACTATAATATATAACAATAGAATTATTTAGAAAATGGATCTGATAGGTAATAGAAAGTCGTAAAATCGTACTAATAAAGGTAAAAAACGATATATACCAACTCTTCTAAGTCTCTTTTTTCTGTTCTTGTCGAAAGGTGTCCTATATAGACTGGGAAGTATTTTGAAAACCAACGTTAATACAAATTCGATTTTAAATATGCACCAAGGTTTTTGTTTCTTTAAACAACACACAAAAACCTACGTTTACTAGGCGTTGCCATTGTAAGAATGCTTAGCAATTCTCCAATCTCAAAAAAAAGGAAAAAATACAAGTTTTTTTTAAACCTGAGAGAGTTTGCGGCTTTCACAAATCCTTACAAACCAGATATTTATTTATGCCGAGTTTGTAGAATTGTGGTTCCTCCGTCATGCATCGTTTTTATTGGCTGATCAACAGGGATTTTTATTGGCCAATCTTAACTATTAATTTTACTGTCGCTATATCAATAACTTTTACGTGAAGTTTGAACCTTCAAAATTAAGGTTTTATATTATATATTCAAGTGATATAATTTAATGTAATAACTTTGTATTACATAATCAAAGATGGTAAAATATATATTATTTTAGTCGTCTCTTTTTAAGTGTATATTCTCTGAATGCAGGTCATATTAGATTCTTGCTAAATGCAGGGCTGGCTTCGGCTCCAAGATATAGATCTTTTTTTTTCTAAAATGCAGGTTTCAAAATGCATTTAGAAAGTTAACTATATATAAATATATATATAATATTTACTATCGTTTTAGAGCGACTCTTCGTTATAGCGACCCTGTGATCGACCAATCAAAATCGATTACATGATTAAATAAAAAAATTTTTTATTTAAAAATAAAAAGTTTACAAAAATGCATCTATGGTGCTGAACACTATAGGTGCTATTTCTCAAAAACATAAGTAATTAGATTTTAAGTAAAATGTTTAAAGCTTTTGAAACTTTAGATACTATATAACAAAATTTAAATTTTTATACAGTATAAAAGGTTTTATTTTATAGAGCATTTAACTAATTAAAATTTAAGATTAGGTGTAACATGCAGATCAGATTTGTGTAACAAAAATAAAGAAATTTTTTAAAAACCATTATATCTCAAAATTTTGTCTAGAAAATTATCTTTTGAGCTTTAACAAAAAAAATTTTTTGTTAAATTTTACTATAAAAGCTATTTAATTCTAATCTTTGACTCTTACTTTTATTCTAATATTAAAAAAAGTTAATTTTTGTTTTGATAAAAGTTTTGATTTACATGTTACACCAGGTTGTTTATTACATATAAAGTAGAGTTAATATCTTAATTCAAATATATTTTTTATATTTGGTTTTATCATAGTATAAATCCAAATATAAATTTAAATTCAAATTTATTTATATTTGGATATAAAAATATTATGTTATATTATATCACATAACATAGTATATAACCAAATATATAAATCTGGATAGAGGTATTAACTCTAATATAGAGTAGCATCAAATGCTATAGTGCTATAATAATATTCTTATATAAAAATTTAAAAAATTATATTTATAAATTTTTTTATTTTTTTTTTTTAAATTGCTTATACGCTGTAAATCTTTATTAATTAATATAGAACTTATTACAATTAGATATTACAG